GACCTTTGTTCATGGAATCTATCACTTCCCATCATATAGTACAGTTATTATGCCTCTGTCTATCATTTCTAGAGTGTAAGCTCCTTGTGGTAAATTCTGTTTCAGATTTGTATCCTCTGTAGCATCTTGCATAGTGGCTTCCATATTGTAAAGTTCTCAGAGACATTTACTGAAGAAAAATGCATGCAAGGAAAAATATTCATGACCCTTAGCAATAATTCCTCTTGAAGGAATGGATCCTAAGCAAAAAGAAATTCAGATAACAATTTATGTATAAAGATTTTAATAGCATCATTATTCAAAACAGTGAAAGTCTGGAAGTAACTTCAATACCCAGTAATAGGAGAATATTTTCTTTATTAAAAAGTCTAGTTTTATCCATCCCACAGAATACCATGCCAGCTTTAAAAATAATGTGGTTGAAGACTTTTAATAACCTAGAAAAAAATTCACCATAAAATGTTAAGAGAAAAAAAACAGGATTCAAAATTGTATATTCAGTATGAATCAAGGGAAGGCACCAAAATGTTATCCACCGTTTTCATTGAGAAGTAAGACTATGGGTGAATTTTATTGTCCTTTTTCTACTTTTCCACATCTTGCACATTTGCTGCTATAAATGTGTTTTGCATTTATTGCTAGGAAAAGAAAACCAAACATTTGGGAAATGAATAAAAGACAAGGTTTGGCAGAACCCCATCTGTGAACAATCTGAAGGGAAATAATCTGATTTACTCCAGGTAGAAAATAATGTTTTTATCCTGACCTGAGCAGGTATCTGCTCAACTTCTGGTTGTGAGGGACAGATGCAACTACCAGCCAAGGACAGGCAAGCAGCTCTGCCAGGGACCAGCATAATGAGCAAAGCTCAGCTGTGAATAAGTCTTGAACTTGAAAAGCTGACACAGCCTCTGCAGCCTCACTGGTGTGATCGTTGCTTACTCAGCCAATTAGCACCCTGTGTCTTTGCTGATCTTGAGGACATTTAGAACACGATCAGTTCTTGAATACTTTGTTCAATACCTTTAGGCGCTTTTTCCATCTGAAAATAGACACAGTCATAGGATTCTGTGCTTTTTTTCAAACTCTAGCAGATGTATTCTGGTACATATTCAAACTGTATTATATTGCATTCATATGTCTTATATAATGGGACTGCTCTAGAAGCATAAGTACTGTTCAGGATAGAGTTGCAAGTGCCAGGAAAATGCTGTTATTTCAGCACATGTCCCAGGTTTTCATGTTTGGTAGTTGGCATAATTTTACTCAATTGGTTGATCTTAAAGGATTTTTTGAGATTCCATTGGTGCACGTAGCGTGTGGTCAATAAACTTTCATTTACTGACCGCTGCAAGAATTTTTAGTAGTAACTAAATTATTTATAAGAGAAAACTGCAATGTTGATGGTCATGTGCAACATTATTATCAAGAGAACATAAGAGAACAGGTTAATACCTACACTTTGAACTTGCTGCAACTCATTTAGCTCTTATTTCAACAAAAGAATAGACAAGATCCCATTTCCCTGCTCTGATTTCACTTTCGAAGTTCTAATGAAGTATACTGAGCCAGAAAACATTCATTAAATATAAGGTATGTATCTTAAAAATACATAGAAATTATGTAGTGATGTGACAGTAAATTCAAATGTGGACTTTGGAAAATTCAACATCCAAAAAGAATGTGTTTCTAAAGAGTATTTCTCAAAAATCTTGTTTTTCCTATCAATTATTAGTGTGAATATCAAATTATATTACAGATAATAGTAGGATGTAATCACCCAGGCCAAAGAAAAGCCATTTTCCAGATAAAGCACACAGTAAAGAATAACTTTGACTGGTTTGGTGTATATAGTTGAAACCACATTATCATAATTATACCCGAATCCAACTCAGCTTTATTTTTGCATCTGCAGGGAAGATGCCACATTAAGGAACTCTTCACAGGAGATAATTAAACAGGCTTTTAATAGGTTGGATTTTATTTTCATCATTGTTTGATATTTATTAAGTATGCATACTTACCTGGTTTTGTACTTTGATGAGGACCCTTCCATATTATATAAATATATTTAGTAACATGGCCTTTATGTTCTAATAAACTAACCCAGAATTAAGGCAACTATCCATGAGAATAAAGGCTCACTTTTAAATATACATTCCTTTTTGCCAATTCTACTGATAGCCAATCTTGAAAGTCTGACTTCATACAAATCTAAGAAAATGGTAATAATGCTCAGCAGCAATCTAATGCAAAGCTTAGCAATGTGACTTTATTTTTCTTAGCTTTGTGTCAGGAAGAAAGTTTTAGAATAAAATTTACAAGATGCCCTTAATTTTACCAAAAATTTGGATCAAAGGGTCATTCAAGGAAGAGACAGTTGAAATTAATGACTAGAATAGCTTAATCTCTGACTATATATATTGAAAAACATTGAGTTATCTTCAGACTTTATTTATAGTCAATTATAAGTTCATCAGAACTGACAGTTTTCAGTAAGTCTGTTGAATAAAATAATTTGACTCAAATTTATATTGGAGAAACATAAATGGGTATATCTGAAAACTTGAGGAAGGCATGACACCTATTTGTAAAATAAATATTGGGATTTTAAACCAACATCACCATGATGTAAAATATGTGCATATTTCATAATGGTCACTCCAGATTATTATACTATTTTTAAAAGATTATTTTTGAAAATGCTATTGCCTAGTGTGCACTGCTGCTTCATAATTTTAGATGGATAATTTCTGAAAATCTGAACATATATGTAATTTAATAATTTGAAAACTGAGGTAGTCATATGAACAGGATCATTTTTATCTTATTTCTTCTTTTTAATAAGGCCCCACCTGGCCACCTATTCAATATTGTAATCTATTTCACTTTGTCCTCACCGGGCACACCCGTTTCCTTGTTCTTTTTCCATAACAGTTTCACCATCTAATGTGCTTTGCTATTTACATACTTAGATATTTACTGTTTATATGTTTCTGTCATCAATGCTACATATATAATACAGAACTTCAAAGAGGCATGAGCCTCCTCGTTTTATTCTCTGATATGCCTTAAAGCCCTAGGGCAATGTCTGGCACAAATAGGTTCTCAGGATATATCTGGGAATTAACGCATGTGCCAGTGAATGATGAATTTCATCCATATAGGACTCCAGTTGTCTAGGCACTCACTGTGTTATTGGAAATGATATTAGCTACCAAAGGCTAAACACTGAAAGATGTGAGCTATTTCATTTAATCTTCACAATAACCTCGTCAAGTAGGCATTTTTATCTTCAATTTCAAAAATGAGGCAATTGAGGCTTGGGGAGGCTAACAGCTTTTCAAAGCACAGAGCCAGTAACTACAGTAGGCCTCAAATGTGAACATAATTCCATTTTTAAAAATACTTCTGACAGTCCGCTTTAGAACAATTGCTTTAGAATTCATGATAACTTTTATTTTTTATTTAATTGTGAAAATTTGAGAGCCCCTATTTTATTTTTTTGTATTAGAATAGATGAACTGTTGTTATTTCCATGGCCGAATCTCTCCCTTCCTTAGGTACAGGGTACTTTACTGCAACACTGGAGTTCAGGTTTTCAGCGTCAGTGGAGTTCACTGCGACAAATCATTTCTTTGCCCTTTGGTTTATTTGGAAGAAAAGTTTATATGAATTACTTATTAATCTTGGGTTAATAAATGCTTTTAAATGAGATAAATCTTCCTGTGATATTTGACTGACATTACTAACATTTATAACTTCAAAGGAAGTCATGAAGTTATCAGTAGGGTTCTTAAATTCTTTTTATTTCAACATACACCAATTAAAATGTCTACTACTGACATTTTGAAGACTTTTTTTAATGATTTTTATAATCTCTGTACAACTTAAATCAAATGTCAGAGTTTAGAAATTTTGAGTTGAAATGTATGGCTGCACTGGGATATGGGAATATTGCTAGATTCAACTCTGAAAGATTCCAATTATTTGAAGTAATAGATTTACATTTTTTTGTCCCAGAACATAGGCACGTTATTTTTCCTCCCAAACACAGAAACTGGGCAATGTACTCTGTTAATAGTAAAGCCCAGATTGTGGATGGTTACGTTCAATGTTGAGGTCCTGAATCATTATTTCAGCATATTCTGGGGTAAGCCTGGCTTCGTGAGCCAGCCTTCTGCAGTCACAGAGGGCCCTGTGCTTAGGACTCTTTGTTTAGTTACTGTCTTCAAATTCTCAATTTTTGAACAAGGAGACCTGCATTTTCATTTTGCACTGGGTTTCACAAATTATGTAGGCAGGTGAAACTTTACTATTTAATAGGATGTCACTATAGTTACCATTTATTTATATTTATATTGCTTTCTACATTTAAATGATAAATTACGTTGACTTTTGATGTGGGCAGTATTTTTTTCCAGCAAGATTTATCTTTTTCGATGATTACATCCATGGTGGGTTAACCCAATCAGTTATAATGAGGGTTACTTTAGAGGCTTCAGTTCATCAGAACCTCACAGAAGTCCATAATCTGCCTGGTCCTCCCTCTCTCCCACTTGCCAAAATCAAATCAAGCCAAAGCAGATGACTCCCAAAGCAACTAATTTGCTGCAACACATATTTGAAGAAGGAGCTAGTAAATTAACCTTCCTTGAAATTTTGGGACTCTGCTGTTCCTACATAGGAAAGAGAACAAAGAATTATGTCCCAGAATAAAGCCTACAAACTTCATTCTTCTTTCATTAAAATGATGTTTCTTTTTTTTTTTGAACAGGCATTTTCTTCATGTGAGTATATTCCTAATGTAAATAAGCTAAATTTATCTTCCTGCCAAAATACCCTTTTAGAAAAGATTATAAGTAGGAGAGATGATAAATGGAAAAGGGTAAAGTTGATACATGTCACTAAATAGGAATACGTAGAAATGTCAAACCAAAGCAAGTAGTTTTGAGTTCAAATAAGAGTTCACCTTGAATACATACATAATAAATCATATAGAAATTCATATACTTTTTTTATAAGTACAGATCAAAATGACATACAGAAAGATTGCTGAAACCGATAAAAAGGTAACATTGATTAAATGAACAAAAGATAACCAGTTTATTTACTGGGAAGAGTTAGACATTACACCATCATCAGTTGGTAACATAAACCAAGACGTAAGAATCAATGTATCAGCTTTCAGTTACTTTCTTAGCATTGGAGCGCCTCTTCCAACCGCTGGGTGCATGATCAAATTACTCGAAGACAAGCACATATCATATGGATCTCTCCCATGAGACGGTCAGTTAGGATTGTCGACATAAAAAATTTTAAACGACAAGCAATAATAAATTCATATGATTATACTGAATTTAAAACAAATGCTATATATGTGTCTTTGAGAACAAGTTTCCTTTGAAATTTGGATTTTTAAAAATCATCAGCAACAAAAGGGTATCTTAGGTCAATTTTTCCAGTCATGTTTTCATATGATGTTGTTATTAGGTAGAAACACTTCACATCATTTAACCCCAAAAGGCGTAACAACAAAATTGCAATTAACTGTAGGAATAGAATCATTACAACAATAATCACACAGTGTAAAAAATCAGGATTGGCCACACATTACACAAATGTTAATAATGGAAAGAAATACAATATCAGAATCATGTATGGTTCATCACATATGCATACTCATGCAAATAAAAACACTGAGATTATAAAAAGTCATAAAAGATTTCCAAGGAACTGTTTAATTGACTAACCACTTAGTCAATTAAAAGTCAAACCACTGAGCTTAAAAATTTTGTGGCAAATTATTAAAATAATTTATTTCCTGTAAGATTAGATGCATATTCATTTCTATAAGCCCAAAACACAAACAATTCATTCTCTATCTCCATTATCAAATAATGATTATCAACAAAATAACATTTCTCACACAGTTCTCTGATCTTTGTTTTTAAAAAAATGACTTTTGAAAAAGAAAAAAAACAGTCACACTAAAAGTATCGAATTTACTTCTCAGTGTTTTCATTAGAGAATTGTAACGATCAGAGAATAATTTGAAAAGAAAAAAAAGTAAAATAAACTGTGTTCTCCATCAGTGTTCTACAGCACTTAAACTCCAATCACAGAAATAAATCTGGCTCAGCAGTCCATCCAGGCTTTAGTTTAAATAGGGCAAATTTTAAATAACGCCAGAGGAAGGGGATAAAAATACACTGATGAGAGTCATGCATTCAATATGGAAAGGAGACCAGATATAGGCAACAATCTCCTTACATTCCTAACGGAGAGGGGACCACAAGAGAAATCAGACTTCCGCGGTGTTCATATTATGAATATGGGAAAGCTTACATGATGTGAAATACCTCATGCAAACATTTTACACAGCATATGTTTATGTACTCACGCCCTTACAGTAAAGGCAGTTAATCACTTCTCTTCTTCTTAAGTAGAATATTATTTCTAGAAAATCCTCGATTGGAGAACCTATCTTAATACTAAATATCTTCTTCGGTTATACTTTAAGGACAAAAGAGATGTCTAGACAAAATCTTTCAGATGTTAATAGCATACCTGGAGCAGGCCACAGATGCAGTACATCAGGGAGCATTGCAGTAACTTGACATTTAAATAAGGATTAGTTTAATTACAGACACAACTCATTTGGGGGCATTATTACAGACAATGGAAAAGGTCACCTGGGAGCTAGATTGGTCTTGTATGTCCATAGAAATTGATTTTCAGGTACAATTCCTTATTGATGTCAGCACCGACCATGCTATTTTTCACAATTCCAGTTCAACAGCTTTTTGAAGAATTATGTTTCCTTTATTCAAAAACACATTCTTGTACGTTTTTTGCAATCTTAAATACAGGATTATTTTAAATCACTTCGGCTTATAAACAAACGAAAATCCTGGAGGGCAAAATTTTTAAATTGTGAACTTTTCCTAAAGTTCCTTTCGAAGCTGGGTCTGCTGTGTATCTACAACATCAATGGATTTGCAGCGTTTTGGGGGTGAATCAGCAGTTCCTTACTGCAAATCCATGTTTTCCCTAATGTATTTTTCTTAGAGACAGATTATGTCTTTTGGCTGATTGATTATAACAACTATATTAAATTTGTTTGCCATTCTTACCCCAGAGGAGTATTGCATTTCTTCCTTTTGGTATTTTACAATTTGTACTTGAGAACTGTTGGGATTTCATCTAAAACAGGATATCAGGAAATGTTTGCATTCACAGTTGGTTTGCTTGGCCAGCATTTCATGCTTGTGTGAAATGGAAGGTCCATCTGTACAGGAATATTTTCCAAAGTGTGAAAAAAGTAAATACGGTAGGTTGAAGATTGTTTTAAGAAAAGATAAAGTTTGAGAGGCATTTGCCTCCCCTAAGGGATTGCATACCTTCTATACCTGAAGTATTCCTGAGGATGTTTGTTTTTTTAGACTCTAACAATTGAGGATTTTTATAGTAAAATTACTACATTCTGGATATCTTTAAAGATATTATGAAATATAGCTGGAAGGAAAAATAATATCAATGTTCCTGTTTTCTTTTGTAAAAAATGTCTTGGAAAAATTAAGATTGCTATCCTATTTTCAAGGGATAAAATATCTTATGAATAACAAGTATAACTTTATTTTTAAATTTAAAAGAAGCATAAGATTATGGAATCCCAGAATTGTAAAACATTATCATAAGATGTCTTACCACTTAATCATCCTAAATTGACAACCAATAACATGTAATTTTTAGAAAACAAATCTTCCTTACGATTATTTCAGTGATTAATTGCTTACTCTTAAAAATCTCTCTCCTGCAGTTCATATAAGTCCCTCACACTGAAGACTTTGTTTTTCTCATTCTAGTCTCAGGAATGACATCTATAGCTGGTACCTACAGTATTGTTAAGTCTTTGTTCTTTGAAGATCACTATTGTATCTCTTCTTCCTTAGGCTAAATAAATGTGTCATCTTTCTAAATAGCTCTTCTTAAAAATTATTTAATAACTCTTCTCTCAAAGTTCTCCAAATTCCTCTTACTGAAACAGAATTGGATACATGAATGGAATCTAGTGAAACATGAGTTGACTGGAGAGCTTCATCCACGGGGCCTGTATGCCCCCAAGCACTCCAGCCAAAGGCAAATCTAGTGTTCCTTTTTAATTTAAATTTTTCACTAAGAAAAATCGTCAGTGGGGAAGCATTTCTGCATACTGACTATTCTTTTCATGATGGTAATTGTGCTTACTTTTAAAAAACTACCTGGTTATTTTCCTAGCCACTCTTGCTAGTTAGTGACCCTTATCTTTGCCCACTGTTTTTACAGTAATTAGCCAATATTTTAATTGTATTTCTGCAGTTTGGTTTTTATTCACCAAGTCTGTCTTCAATTAGTCTTACTGAGGTTTGTTCTTTTTAATTTTCACTGATTCTTCTATTTTTCAATTTCCTTTTGAATCCTGATATTTCTCAACACATGATTTCTATCAATCCTACATATATTTCTTCATTTTAAATGCCTATAAATAAATACAGATATGGCTCAGTTTAAACGATACTAAATGATGCCACAGTGTAAACACACGGAATTCTCTGTTACCGCTTAGGGACTATTATCCAATTTTGTGCTGAAAATTAGAAATTTATTTCCAAGTTTCTCTATCTTCTTGGCAAAGTTTTGCTAAAATCAATATTTTTATAGAATATTTCAACACAAGCATTTTCCACTCTATTGATATGAAGAACTGAAATAAAACTAGGATATAAGAGACAACGATAAACTTTGTAGTGGGAGAAAATAAGTGTTTCATCTACAACTCGCCTTTCCGCCGGGTCATAACTAAAGAGAAAGGGGCGTGACCTCAACACCGCGCCTTCCGTGGCCGCCCTGCTCGGGAGCTGCGCACAGAGGCCACTTGGCTGCTGAATTCCTGGCCACCAACTGAGCTAATGAGGCGTATAGATGTTCTGAGGTACTTGAAAATAAAGGCATTATTTTCCCTCAGGCACAAACAGTTAACTTAGCAGCTATGCCATTTCTCGGGTCCAAACACATCACACTTGGAAACAAAAACAGAAAGAAAAGAAAAAGAAAAGCAGGCACGGGGATGGAAGTGGGGTGGCTTCCTTTAACTGAATTCCAAGGAAACCCACAGTCTCACTAACACTGGCACCAGGCGGATACAACATTAATAAAATGAAGAAAATGTTTAGGTCAGCAAGGCAATGCAGGCAGGAAAGGGCAGAAGGCTAAACTGCCATGAACAGGACTTTAGGAAGATCTCCCTTGTCCCTAGTTCTGTACTTTCACCTGAATCCCTATTTTGGTGAAGAGTTCCAACCACTCCAAGTTGCATAATAAATGACGCGGTGGAAAACAGCCCTCAGATAAGGAGCTCAAACCACTTGGCAGCTCTGGGGACGGGGCCACCCCTCGGCCACAGGCCTGCCTCTGCGCGAAGCTGCGTCCCTGGGCCTGAGGACTCACCCACTGGCCCGCATCGCACACGGGGCTCCCCGAGATCACGCAGAAAGCTGAGCGACCCCTACCAGACCTCCACCGGAGCACCCTGCATTGGTAACTACCTCTTGTGTTGACAGTCTGCATTGCTTTTGCATCCAAGTTACAGATATTGTTACGTGAAAAGGTCAAACCGTGATGGTTTGAAGCAAGTTAAGGATACCTGACTAGACAAGGAACTGGGGTTAGGGGCTATTGTGTGGACAGCACTTGAGAGACAGTGAGGAGCCCGAGAGAGTGAGGCCTTTCAGCTCGATTAGCTGTTTTCCTGGTGTGCCAGATTACGTGCAAAAGAAACTGTGCCAAGAAAATCCACTGCCTGAAATCGTCCTAAGAGTCACCTGGCAGCATCTGGAAATCAACAAGGGACATGCATGATCTCAACAGAATATCACGATTGTAGGCACCTGAGTCAAATATCGACAATGAGCTAAGGTTCATTATCTGTTTTCTTTTTGGCAAAGAAGATCCATTATGAAAAAACTAACAACAAAACATACGATTTCAATCAAAATTTGAACACTGGATAAATTAACTGAAGGCCAACTTACACATATCTATGTACAGATTTTCCCATGTGGTAGCTTTTAACAGGAAAGACTCGTGAGGGGGACTGCGAATGTGGGAGGAGTTAGAAAGGAAAAAAAATACTAGTCATTAAGTAAACATTCCATTTTTTCCCCTTCGTATTATTTAGCCTTTTTTAACATCTCTCTCTCTCACACAACGTGTGCACACACACACATACAGGAACAGCACCAGCACATTTACTTGTCTGCAATTTTAAAATATGAAAGATGCCGTCAAAAGTTGAATGAGTCAATGAATCATAACATAGGATTTCTTAGGTTTACTTAGTAATATCCAGTGAAGAATTCTAGTTTAAAAAACAAACAAACCCAGCAGTTAATGAGCTACGGATTAGAAAATAAGTGCATAAACAATATCAGTGTAGCAGCAAAATAGTTATCATTAGCATTCCAACGTACCTCATGTATCATTTTGTGCAAGAAAAATGACCACAGTCGGGCCAATTCCAGATTTAACTGAGCAAATGATGCTTATTTAAAAGTAAGTGAAGTTAAGTTCCCCTCTCACAGACATGGTTTTTATAGACGCAAATCATATGGCAAATAAAGGTCAAAATAAACACCAATGACAAGAGATACTGGACTCAACTTGTAGAGCTGAATATGACGTATGAGGAAGCATGACCTTACATTGTATGAATTTTACATTGTCTCGGGTCTCTCTCATGCTACGGAGGTAAAACCAGCCATCTGAGATACACGTTTTCCTGTTTCATTTTTGTTCTGTTTGCTTTTATGTAACTGAACTGTCACCCTTTGATTGCGGAAGTTTATCTGTGACTTTGAGAAACCATAAAACGTGTAGTCACACCAGAGTCTGTGCTTTGTGTCATCCTTCTGAACTTTCTCTCATCTTCCAGAATGATGGCCATGAATCCACTCATACATCTCACAACCGAGAAGAACACACGCGCTGGATCTTGGGCAGGATCCTGTGTGTGGCTACAAAACATTCACCCCGGATACTCGTCCTCGGGAGATGGAGTCTAGGGGTGAGGAGGCTTGGAGAGACAGTGGAGAGGGGCGCACTGCGAGCTGGAATGTGGCTGCCCATCAGGGAGAGCTAGGTCGGGACTGAAAACGAGAAACAAGCATGTGAGCAAGGACCGCATTTCCAAGGGGCCAGGCACACTTGTAAGGGTAGATAGACACACTATTTGCACAGAAATTCTAAAGCATGCCATTTTTGCACAGAAAATGGGTTACGTCTAAAGTGTGCCAAGACAATGGTGGCTTTTCAGAACAAGGCACAAAACAGAAAAATGAACTGTGTGAGGGTAACGTATGCGAACCCTTCCCCCAGGATTGCTTGTTTCAATCTGGGCACAACAGTCTTGTTCCCCTTGGTCTCTGGGCTTGGTTCTAATATAAAATCATGATTAAGAACGAGTTTCTCTTTAGGGAACTAGACATGTTATTCAATGTTAAGGTTACAGCAATAGCAGAGGGCGGTCACATTATAAAAGAGGGTTCAGTTTTTCAAGACCCCATGTAGTTCAAGATTTTAGATCAGTTCTTCTCAAACTTTAATGTGTACACCAATCACCAGAGACCTTGGGCAAACCCCATCTGATTAGATAGGAATTGAAAAGGAAACCTGAGAATTTGCATTTCTAAAAAGTGCCTGTGCTGGACCAGGGCTTTTAGCAGAGTCCACAGTTCTTTCAGATCCAGACTTAGTAGGCTAATTTTTTACCTGTAGAAGTTGATTTGTTCTAAGGTTCCAGTACTTTTTAGCTTGTAGCTTAAATAACGCAGAAGAGTTTTAAAACGTCCTATTCTTAAGTACATAATCCAGGCATCCAAATGACCACTTTCAAGAGCCTCCAGTTTAAATTAACACAGAAATGCAGAAGCTCGTCAATGTCTTGGTGAATAATCTTAAAGAGTAAGGGAGTAAAATCAATGAGTTTCCTAAGGTAAAACTACGAAAACACATTTTGGTTCAATCCTTTTAAGATGCTACTAAAGGGAAAATCACCTCCGGATTTTTTTAACTGAAAAATCTGGCATTTTTTGAAACTCTGTTTTTCCCCTTATATCATGAAACTCAGTACCATAGAATGAATTCATTTCTACCAGGAGTGATATTTGAGAAAACTAATCAAGGCTTCTCATTATTTATTATTAATAGTAGTTTTAAAAAGCTGATACTATCATTGACGTCATTACAAACTCGCATTAAACAAATAATTTTTATCTTTGGTGCTGAAATTACCCTTCATGTCTATCTCTTCAATTTTAATGCAAAATCATTACTGTATAAAATACTGACAGGCTCGAGGCCACCCTTACTTCCAAACTCTCTGAACCGCTATACATTTTGTTTAAAAAGGACATACCTCCTGTCCTAGGACAAGCGGTGATAAAAAATGATTTTTCCGATCTATTTTTAAAACGTGGCAGGTAAACATGGGAGAGCTGGAGTTTCAACACAAGGACTAAGGAGATATCGCGAGGCAAAATTCTTTGTCCACCTCTGGACAGATGGCCCAGGAAACACAGCAGTAGACAGACTTCCCACAGACCAGAGATTCTTTCTGTTAAATCTGCATGACTTAGAACGAGTTTCTTTTTAGGGAATTAAATATGTTATTCAACATTAAGTTATAGCAAGCAGCATGAGGGCAGTCACATTATAAAAGAGGGATAAGTTTTTCAAGACCCCATGTAATTCATACTCTTTCTGATAAAGAAGACATGCATTTCTGCTTGACCAGCTGAAGTGTGTAGTAACAGCTTAAATACGAGTTACAACTCACTTGGCCCAACACTACGACATTATGTCATTCATGATGATTTAACTTTTTTTTTCATTATTTCAGATTTCTTACATAAAACCAGAGGTGGTATTTTAGATTATAGCATTACTATTTTAAATTTGCATAAAATGCAATCACACTGTGTGTAGTATGTGACAGAAACATTCTTGGCATACAGATTAAGAATTTATTTCTTAGATGTAAATATCTGGTTAAGTTCTAATTATTTAAGGTATAGGATGCATTCAGTTCTAGTTACTAGATATCTCCAGGAGCCCTCTTGTCATTCAACCTTTATTATTTAAGACCTTCCTTTTGTGGGTAGATCATGCTGTAAACAGTGGGCTTAGGAAACTATTACTAAGATATTAAAATGACTGTGACTTTAGAAAGTTTTTCTCCGCCCACCCCCAGTAAGCAGCTACTTGATAGACGGGGAGATGAGCTAAATACCAAACATATTCATGTATTTAAATATTACATGCAAGGCTGTTCCCTGAGCAGTCCTGTCATAGTATGATATTATCTATGAACAATTTTAATAATTCAGTTCTACAATGGAATCAGACTGTAAAAAGCACATATAGAAAAGTTCTACATTTTCAAATATGAAGAAAAGCTCTTTTATTCAAAACCATACACCTAAAAAGTGATTTGATATATGCATAAACTGAAGGAAGTATAAAACACCTTTTCAAGTGAGAACAGAGATGGAGAGAGAACACTGATCTGAAATTGCTCCACATTCTTAACACGTGTGATTTCTCCTGTCTCTCATTAAACAATGCTCCTTTTCAATTCAGGGATAAAGGGTCAACGGGGTGACTTAAACACTCTCTTGGCAAACGGTGGCGGTCAGGAGAGTGGGTGCCCGAGGCAAGGGGCTCAGTTGCTTTCAGGAGAGGTAACCAGAGACAAGTCATTTTACCTCCCCAAACCTCGGTTTCCTCATTTAAAAAAATGAGTGTAACAATTGTTTACTTTACAGGGACTGTGATGATTAATAAGTGTAAAGAGTTGAACACTTGTCTTGTACATGGTAAGAATTCCAAGACTGGCTCTGTGTTACTTTTCTGACAGGAAGAAGTGAAAAAGGCAGCGAGGGCATTAAATGTGATACATTTGGCCGTGGGTTGGGTTGAAGGAAGCCAGTCATAATCCCAGCACCTCTGATAAAGACAGTCATTCCAGGGCTGAAGGGTTTTACCATTTCTCTCCGCAAACCACAATAAGGGACAGGGGAAGCTTGGATCATGCTGTGTTCACATGGGTAGACACTGGAAACATCTCTGATTCATTAAAGTGCTTTCCTTTGAAGTAAATCATCCATTGGAAGGGAGCAAGCAACCTAAATCCAGTCATCTCAGAAAACTCGGAACTGGGCAGGTCTGTTCAGTCCAACTGGTTGTCAAGAAAATAAGCAAGGTGAAATGACATTGACCTTAGATTCCCCACTAGCCTTTCCATTTCTTATCTAGCTGGAACACGTAAAAGAGTAGATAGACTTCTCCACTCTTTGCCCAAACAAATTAAAGGGCTTATGAAAGAGACTGCAGCTCGCCGTCCTGAGGCAGGTCAGGTCCCGAGAGCGGTTTGCAGTAGTAACAGACATGAGGCACACCGCGGCCGGCCTGCGCCTCACTGAGTCCCTAAGGCCCTTCCCATCCTTGACAAGTGAAGAATGGGAATGGCAGTCAGCACAGGCAACATTCCAAGATGATACAACTGGTAGGCATTAGAGGTGGGATTCAAAGCAGACGATTGGACCCCAGAGCTCATTCACTATTCCTGTAATCAGCAGGTGCCACACATCTGTCACGTACCTGGCACAGCCCCAGGCCCTGGGTGGGAGGGGTGCTTTGTGGAGAATGGGCTGTGGGTTAAGAGCCCACGTTCTCCACCACTACACACACCGGTTCCAACTGAGATGGATCTCAATGTTCATAATTATATTCAGTAATTACATCATTGAAATTACTGCCCAGTTGGCTACTGTTATAAAGCGGCATTCCTATATGTGAGCGGAGAACTTTCCTGAAGTCAAAAACCCCTGCTGCTGGAAGTGGCAGACTGAGACACCGGTCGGGAGGCACTGGGTCGGGGCCTCTGCAGCCACATCCTTTGCCGGCTAATGTGACGACCTGCTTAAACAGCTGGCAGCAGCGCCGCCTCAGAGACCAAGTCACACCCGGGCTCTGCTGTGTTTCCGGGGGGCACTCATGGCTGCCCCATGACCACATGCAGGCTGTTTGCACATCTATCTACTCCTCAGACATATATGGAAACCCTTTGGGACCTGCTTCTACTCAAAAGAAGGCTTGGCCTGGTAGAAGAGCAACAGATACATTAAAATGAGGAGAGAAAAATAAGCAGACTGTAAAAGCCACACCAGACTATACAAACGTGGCTACGGAACAGACTACACAAACCATCAGAGGCCACACAGCTGGAGATGAAGATCGCGAGGTCCTAACGGGGTGCTCCGATGCTGTGTGGAAGTTTACCCAGGATGGGGGTGAATGCATGTAGATTTATTTGTAGAGCTTTTATCGGAATAGAATTCATCAGCAGACTCCTATTTAGTGTCCTGGGAGTACATAAAGCTGCCTTTCAAAGTCTTTGGTTGCACTCACATAAAGGATGTTATCACCACTAATATTCTCTTTGAATGCGAATGACAAGTTTTTCTCTTCCTCTCAAATTCAGTTTTCATGAGGATACTGAGTGGACAGAAAATACTCTGATAAAGCTATCTGGGAATGGACCTCGGGTAATGCTTTCTAACCTCCCTGTTTGCCTGAGAAATATATGGTAAGGACACAAGATAAACTTCCTAACAATTCCAAATATATTTTTTTAGGGACTGCATTTATGTGTCTTTAGAAGGTAACCTGGGCCAGACTTTTCAGAAGCCTGTGACACAGGAGTTCTCCTTCTGGGAATCCATCCAGATCCCTGCTTGGGGAGGTAACTACAATCGCAGACATTTCCCTCTGGCGACAAGTGTGTGCTGACTCACCACTGCCACCATCCGCCCAGGTTTTATATCTTGGAAGGTTCTGGAACACTGGACGAATCCCACTATTAAGTCCCCCAAGGCAGCGGGAGCAGACTTCAGTCCACCCACTAGAGGCCAGTGAAATCAACTGTAGCTCTCTGGTATTCCCAACAGGCACATATGAACTTCATGTAGAAGGTGTGTTGTGGAGCCCACACTTGAAATAAAATGTAGCAAATGTAATTATAGGCAGTTGGTGGGAAAGGAGAGTTTGGGGTCTATGGGTCTGACATGCAGCTGAGTGGAGAGAGAACAGACATCTGAATTTACCTGACAGTCGGGCAGTCTTGCCTCCCGGCTAGTTGTGCGCACTGTGGCGGTACGGAGGCAGCAGGCTGCTGACAATCTACAAGAAACTGATAAATTAGACATGTACACAAAGAGACGGCAGAGCAACGTGTTAGTAACAGTAACTAAAGCAGTTGCCTGAGAGATTTAGTGAGGAATGTACATTCACACAGAAACATCTGGATTAAAGTTTTTTCCCTGAATGCCAATAGAAAAGCCTTTTTTCTTAAATACAGTATTAAAAAATTAGTGACACAAAATGAGTAGTGAGAGTTCTCAAGTACATTAGGACATATGTGGCCATTCATATTAGGTATGTGGATACATCTAAAAATAAAGTGTCTATTCATATAATGAAAGATCTTCAAGTTCTGAACTTGAACATGACGGTAAATACTTGCTTAGCACTTAGACCTGCCATTCTAAAATGGAATATATTCAGATAACTGACCTTATTGTTGGGACCCGTGGGCATATCGTCTATCCCATAGGTACAGTGAGAAAAGCACGCAATACAATATTTCCAAGATTAATAGAAGGATATTGCAGAAGGAAATCATCTTTATAGTTTTCTGAAAATAGATTTTATTTATCAAAAGCCAGAATTGTTAGCAGAAACTCTTAGAATGTTAGGGTAAACTGTTAGTAACTTGGACTAATGGAGAAAGCCAATCTGAATGGGAAATCCACTTTTGTTTTTATTTTTTTTGCCATTTTAAGGTTGCATAATATAACTCACACTAGGTTAACAAAGTGATAGCTAGTAAAAGTCCATTTTTTAGCTGATCAGTTATGTGAATTTACTTCAAGAAAAACCATGTGCTGGGTGTTCTAAAATAATCAAAGAGCAGTCTATTTACGGGTATCAGGGTGCCCATGACAGAATCACCCGAGAAGCTGGTTAGAAATGCATACAATGTATTTATGCAAAAAAAAAAAAAAATTGCAAAAAAGGTAAAATTTGAGTTAAACTAAAAATTCAATTATTCTTAAATAATTGCAGCATTTCCTCCTGCTAACTGCTTAGACTATGTATTTGCTTAGCAAACCTTTCCCTATATGTCACGCAGATAATATTTAAGCCAAATTATCAGAAATTCTAGATCCACAGCTGTGAATTAATGAAGTGCTATGGAAATTTATATTCAAAGGCTGGTATCTAAGTATTACTTGTTTTGAAACCAGTATATTCTCAAGTTTAACAAAACCTGCCTCCAGAACTCCAAAATACTAAAATTCACGAAAATTGCCGATGCTTTTGCCTAAGACACTGGAAACACACCAAACGGTCTGTGGTCCAAAGCAGAATACAAAGACAGCTTGATTTCAGTTAATTCAAGAGAATATCATTATTGAAGGGAGCCTTTGACAAGGTAGTTTTTCTTACAGATTAATTACTAGTAGAAATGAGATCTAACTCTCATCGAATAGCCAGTGTTTGCATTATCACATACAGCAAAAGTCCTTCAAATGTAAAAAGTATTTCCTTTTTCCAACTTGGGGAAATTCTTTTTTAAGTCTTTGTTTTCCCATTTTGTGGCTTGAGTAGCACAATGGTTCCCTTTTGTAGAAACTCAGAGTCTTAAAGAATGCCTTTATGTTCCTTTCAGTTTTTCAACAGCTTTCCTACCTAAGAGATAATTCGAGAATGTCTTCAACTAATTTAGATAACTATTTTGAGAGTAGCCGCCAGAGGAGCAGTTTTAAGTTTACCAGGTGTGTGCTGCCCTCCGATGGTATATTTGGGTAGATGCAATGGCTACAAACACATGAACACTTGGAAATCCACTCTGGCGTCTAGACAGCCTTAGGTCTTACATCGCCAGGGAGGCTTAAATGAAGCTCTTCCCTAGCAAAGTTTTGGCTTCTGGGGAATGGCAAGCCCTAGCATTATAGTAATTAGAGCACTTAAATGGTTTAAATTTGGTCCCATATCTCACTTATATTAGAAATATTTGTTTGCCAATGAAGTCACAGATTATTGTTCATTTGAAATAAGCTTTGTGATGAAATTCAGAACACAGGTGAGCAGGATCACGATGCACTGCCTTAATGAGCTGTTTACTATGTGGCGGGTATTCCTTCCCTTGCAGTCCACGTCAGTTTTTCCTTCTTTGGAACTAACATCACCTATGGCTAATTATTATTATTTTTTTTACATTTCTAAGTACTTAGCTAAGTGTTATCGCTAAAGGATAAAAAGCAAATTCCATCCATAAGATGGTGACGGAGGAAAAAAATGAAATTTGAAAAATAGCTGGAATGCTCCCCTTCTCTGGTCTTCTAAATGCTTCCTCTCGGGTCAACAGCTCTCCAGTCACTCGTGTCTAACCCAGCCGAGCACTGGATGTAGTATGTGCTCTGTGAAATGAAAGGGGTGGGTCGGGAGACTGAGAGAAATCTCTTCCAGCCCCGAGATGCCGTGGGCCCACATGATCTCACGCGTTCTGTGCAGAATCTCATCTGGTAGACTCGCTCTAAGGAATGAGTCCTCACCTCATTGCTTCTGAGGGCATAAAAGATGACAATTCTGGGACTTGAGGAGGAGGCCCTGCCGCGCACCCTGGCAGCCACTGCTGTCATGTGGGCCACCAGAACTGATCTCAACCATTCAACTATCAAGTCACTGGACTCCTATTATATGTCTGAAACTGTCTGAGGTGCTGGGGACAAAGGGAAGACAGAGAAGATGTGGTTCCTGGTTAAGTGGGGAAGACAAGCAAGCATATTCATTCAGCAAGAAATTACAAAAACGTGTTGTGATGCTGGCGACGGTGACGGTGACAGTGAGGGTGGCAGTGGTGAGGGTGAGGGTGATGGTAATGATGATGGCAACTAGAGCTTTTTTCATTGCTCACCAGGCACCAGGCACTGTGTAGTCACTTACTAGGAATGCTCTCCTTGAACCCTGCTTCCTTAATCCCAATTTACAGATGAGAAAAGGGGGACTTAGGTTAAGTAACTTGCAGTATTTCGCTAACGGGTAGAGCTGCCCTGGAATCCGGGATCGTATGACCCAAAGGCTGAGCTGAACTTACAGACTCATCACTGCATTTCTTTCCATGACAGGGAAGGGCAGGGACCTCCCCGCAGGAACACCCATCAGTCTGAGTGGTCAGGGAATGCTTCCTGGAGGTTGTGACATCTAGGCTGACACCTCAAAAAATGAGTTAGCCCAAGAGCCTCTTAACAACAATAAACTAACTGCTTATGGTCTCTATTAATAGCAATAAAATATTTCATCACAAAAGTTACGTGTCTACTTGAAATGTTGAGAACTGAATTAGTTAACACTACATTTCTAGGGTTACAGGCCTGAGAAGTGTCATAGCAGGCTCAGGAGATTGTCAGTGCCTCCAAAGGAGAGATGAGTGGGGGGGGGATCACAGCTTAGAGCACACCTACAGCTCTGTCTTGGAATACACACGAGCGCAGCGTATGACATTCCGCCCTAAACCAACGCCAAGGACAAAGGAAGGTGGAAAGGGGGAAGAGAAGAAGGGAGGCTATTATCTGCTGAATCCACGTGATGCAATTTCTCCTGGACCTTTATATTAGTTTCCTGGTTTAAGTCTTAGCAACAGTAACTCTGGAGTTATTTTCACTATTCCTACCATGAGAAAAGTTAGTATTTTTGACCTATGGGGGCTATGTAAAAACCCCAGATACCCAAAGGCTCTTTATTTTTTCTTTAACATTTTTCAGGGTCTCTCCCACCAGAAACAAATACAGAGCTTTCATCAGAGCAGGTGCTCTGCAGATTCTCACTGACCGAACTGATACACAGTCACCGTAGAGTGACTTGCCCAGGGTGACATGGTCAGGGTGGCAGAGCAAGGATTTCAATTTAGACTTTTCTGATGCTAAGTCCTGTTTTCTACTCACTGCTCTGGTTGTCTCTCAAATTGACAGCAGCTACCTTTAGAAAATATATCATAAAGTCAAAGAAACATAAGAACTTAACCAGACAGTTGACATAGTCATTTGGAGGCAACCAATTATCTCGTAACTCAAAGCAAGACAAAGGGTGCCAGGTACGTGGAGGACCACACAGTTCCTCTCAAGAGGTGGATGGGATTAATGAATTTAAGTAGGAGGTAAAGTCTTGTCAAATAGTTTTTCTCTCACACTTCCACTACTTTAAATTTTTCAATGCAATTTAGAAAACGAACAAATTTTCTAAATGTCAGCACCTTTAGGGTGTCCATGAACCAACCAGTGGCTGTTGGGGCGGGAGTGGGGGGCCCTCTAGGGAAGAGGCAGGGAACACCCGTGTGTTTTTGGCACCGCCTGGCTCAGATGGCAGGGGTGGGAGTCAGCAGGGACCGTACACGTGAGCGCTCATGTCTGGACGCCACCCCCAGCCGGGATGGGCCAGTGGGGCCGCATGGACGGCTTCCTTGGTGCCTGGATGCTCCGCGGGGTCAAGCAGCAGCTCCTTTAGAATGGGGTGCACCCCAGGCTCTGGACTTCCTGCTTGGAGAACATGCACCCCTGCCACTCCATGAGATCTTATTTTGCATGCCACACCTCCGCCCTCCGGACCATCCGCTCTGCTGGCTGCTACACACTCGTCCATGAAAACTCTGTGCTTGAGTTTTCCTCAGGCCAAATCATCTGTGTTCTTCCCCAGAAGACACAATGTCAACTTCCCTCACTCCCCTCCTTGTGCTCTGGCCGTGTTCCAGTTTGTGCACCCCCCTCTTAAAGATGAGGTGTTCAGGAAGGCAACTGTGTGTGATGAGCTGTGACCAGTGGAGAGGAGTGGCAGAGTCCTGTTCATCTCACACATCCTGACGCTATTAAAAGCAGATGCCTGCATGGCATTTTTTTGGGCAGCCACATCACACTGCTATTTCACACGTGCTTATGTTGTTCACACATGGAGCTGCCCGGTCCTGCTCCCTCCAGCCTGTGCCTGTGGTGTCTGCGACTCCAGCGCACTCTTTTATATCCTTTTAACATGATGTTTATCTTTAATAACTTTCACCTCTTCCCACCTGCTGCACGCACTAGGCCCTATTCTGTCTTCTAGCATATTAACTTCCTCTCCCTTTT